ATTTCAAATGTTACTCCATTTCAGTTATTGTCAAATGTCATCACTGCTCTCGTTATAAAAACTCACTGAATTCGGATGGAATTTTTTGTCGTGCTGGCACGCAGATGAGACAGATAGTGAATTGCCGCCAGGTGTCATTGCCGAGGTGCTGATTTTCCGTGAACCACTCAAGGATATCAGGTGGTAAATGGGTCAGAAAGTTTATCAATGAGACCGGATATTGTTGAGTAAATGTACGAGATGCATTTGTGAATGATTTGTGAATGATTTTGAAATGATAATTTTTTGAGCGAGAAATATCAGTTTGAGCAACAAAAAAAAGATGTTAAAAATCTCTCGCACGAAACTGCGTAAAAGCCGTCTGAATGGCGCCTGTGAATGAAGTGCAACTATTCGTGCTCTGTCACCAAATCGGGTTGAGTCTTCAACTGAAATGACATATCGAATCAGTCATTCGTGTTTGATTTAAACAACATCATTATTCTTCATCTTATCATTTCGACTTTTAACACCAATGAATTGTTTCTGATACTTGAAAATGGTGAACTCATTAATCCAACGAGTGTATTTGATTATTTCAAATGATGAACATGGAGATTAATGGAGAGTATTTCGGAAGACACTCGATCTTGATTTGTTCTTTCATCGCAAAATGTATTTTAGTAGTGTAAGGTTTATTGCCGACTAAAAAATATGTACTCGGAGCTGACTTCAGCAATAGANCGCTATGGCAACTCTCATTAGTGCTGCACAACCAGATGAAAATCTGATTAATCTAAGTAATCAAGATAATTACCGTTGATCAAAGCACTAATTGAAATTAATTGTGAACTTAACAGAAATTTGTCGAATTCAACTACTTCCAATCCAATCTAGTTTTAAGTGATATCACGTGATAACATCTAATAATAGCAAATAATGGTATTGTTTTCTCTATACTCGGATCGCACGACGACAGCTTCAAGTGAAAATAACAATGTTTTTATGTCACTTACGATTAGAGTTTAATTGGTTATTTTTATAATCATTCACGCCATTGATCATTGATAGCAACTAAGCTTTGATCACTTAGAGTATTTCGAGTGATAATTATGATAATAACATCAACAATTTATCACTTTCGTTATAATCATACATATATAGCATAACAGGGATCAGAAACCATTTTTTTCTCGCCAACGACACATCTGAATAATTCAGAGGTGTCGAATAGGCTGACTTTAATTCTATTTACTATTTGATTTGAACTGTCTGATTTGGATCATATTAGATCGATCGTTATCACAAAAGAACTGTTCCCCTTCATTGAATTTAAAGATATCATAGGAGGGACTAAGGTTGATTGGTTCTGTTTTCACAGATCTTCCACAATTGTCCAGTAATGTTTTCAAAATGCTTCTCGGGCCGTATGAAATTGATTCCCTCAATAAGACAGACATATCATGCCAACTCAATCCATTGATCTCATTCTGATCTGTTGCTAAGAAGTGTTGGGTTGTTAGAAGGTACCATTATGTACATTGTTGGAAGGGGAATGCCGGTGTGCGACATACTCAAAGAGGTGCCCATGCAGTCCAAGAGTGTGAGGAGAACCAGTGTATTGGACTGAATGATTTGGCATCAGATCATGTGTGCTTGCGATCAAACTCCTCTGTTATTATTTCAGCTGTCGCAAATATTCAACCTTGAATGTTTCGTGAACTGAATACATTCCGATCTGTTGTTTTCAAAACAAAAATCAATTTGCTTAATTTATTGCTTCAAAAATAGCAAAGTCTCAATATTCCTAATGTACTTCTAGCATGGATATTATTCTCAAAAGAGTCGAAAATGCGGAATTACACAAATCAGATGAAAAGTACATTTTGAAATATTATTACGTTGACTGCAATAGGCCTTGCGCTTTAACAAATAAACACATGCGATCGAAAATGATTGAAACTATTTGAAATCGCAATCAAAAAAAAACGAAGTGATTAGAAAAAAACAGAATTACAAGTAATAAGATCACAGATATGCTCTCGCAATACCAATGGCGAGGTTCAGAGGCAATCTTANAAGCCGATGGAATTGCATCAACGCCGAAACGAGCACCTTAAATTGTTGAACACTTCAACGATTCTGGGATCTTATTGTGGCTAGATGAAGTCGAAATCAATGGAGTCATGAAAAAGGAAAAAAAATAAATATTTCAATTTGTGGCGCATTGAAATATAGACGAGTTGAAACATATGAAATCAAATTTGGAAAAAGGCTCAAAGAAGTTCCAGGAACGACCGACCAAGCATTGCAGCGACAATACATCCGTTCGTATCTGTGTCACCACCGCGTGAAACTGCATTCAAAAGGCCCGTATAAAATGATGGCGCATTTAGCAATTCATGAAAAGCACTCTGAAATTTGCTTTTGTGATTTAGAAGTGACCGAAATGACAACGAATTTCAAGGAATTCGGGCAAGACATCGGAAACTGAAAGCCCTCAAAGTCTCCGTTGAGATTTTGTCGTGTGAGTTTGTTGGATAAGAGTAAGCGTAATGATGACCTGAAGTGCTACACCAATATAACCCATCATCTTGGTGTCACCGTTTATCAACACTCCTCTCGCTTTCACCGGAATTGCTTCGCGTTTCGCACATCTGAGAATATCTTTCACTGTATCATTCTGAGAAATTTCAACGGCTGCTTTGAACGCTTCCTGCAGCAGATATCGTGAATGGGAGAAAACTCTCAATTAAAATGATGTTGATTCCCACTTCTCTGATTCCGCATCTGAGTATGTAATCAATCACCAACACTGCTGATAGTGATCGAATACGCTTCACTGAAAATATGAAGGCTCGAGGAGTTTATGGTTTCTGAGTAGTCTATTGCTTTAAGATTAACAATTCTCTGAGACTTTATGATCTCTGGTTTTACGGGTCTTCGACTCTCAAAAAGGACTTTGTTGATGACTGAAAAGTTGAGCTTCAATTATTTAGAGAAAGCCATACAAGTGGCGTTCTATCGTTGATAAGTTCGCGAACTGCTGCCACATAAGCCGTTACGGCATCGATACAGACTGGAGCACAGTGCGTTAGGATACAGTCTTCCCTTACCATCTCCTTCATTCTAAATTTTGAACTCCACATTATTCAAATGAAAAGCAATTAATTTTGAAACAGTTCTGGATGAGCTGCATGACTTTCGAGAAGATAATTTCAGAGGAGTGTCCTCTCATTTTGGCATCTTTTGAAATGCTATCAATGATTGGATGACCACTTTAGATGGGTCAGCAGGAAAAGTGCAGCCAGCTACTTGAGGATGTACAGCAAACTTGATAAGATTTGAAAGTGTGGTGTTGTTGCAGCTGAATGCTTTCTTTGATTTCACTCATTAACTGATAAACTGAGATTGACTCACTTATCAACTGATAAATGCGCCGAGGCGATGGCAATTGGTGAGATCCGCATTAGACATCCATTACTGGCACTATCCGCGTTATGCTGACGAACGTTTTCGATCACTTCCTTGTGGACTGCACATTTNGCCTTAGCATCGAGCGTGTCGATCCAGTTGCTTGGTAAACGAGATTCTGAATTCAACTTCTAAGCCTTCTTAACCATTCACACTTTGCAAATCTTCTTCAACGTCGGACCTCCTAAAGTGACCAGCTCTAGCATCTACTCGAAACTTTATACGAACTAACTGATTTCAAGAGCATTTCTTGTGGCAACACCAATATCCGGTGGTGTGGATTGTTGCCATGCGACATAGGCGCATGCAACGTCCGGAGCGTTGAAGCTCTTGCAACGACACAAACTTGCGGCCAATGAAAAGGCCATTTCCGAATCATCGGTTATCTGAAAGAGCTATGAATATGGCCTGAACTATGTGGAACATGATCTAATTCCATTTCAATTTCATGATGGGTAAGCTGCGTGGGATAGCATAAGGCAAGCATTCCGGTTCACCTGTCCAGGTGTCATTTTGAAAGGTCCACCACCAAGAATCGGCAAGAACTGTTGCTTTGAGTCGAGATCTTTTTTGATCTTTGCCTGAGTGTTTACGGCTGATAGAAACTCGTAGCGAGTACCGAGTGCGTCACCGATTAATTGACCATAAAGGCATCCGATTGCCTTGTTTCTATTCATCTCTTAAATTTTCAATTATTTGTCTCTTTTGTGGAGATTCATTTTGGATTTCGATTCATTATTGAGCTGAATGTGAATCATCAATTTGAATTTAATCATGAACTGTTACGGATTAAACGATGAATAATTGATCAATTTTTGACGAATTCGATTCGTTCATATTAGCTTTCACATCGACAATATCACAATCTTTCACATTACCATACATCAAGTGAACTATTAATCTCAAAAATCAGCTGCAAGCCAGGCCGCATGATCACGGGAATAGCACATTTAACAGAGGCAAACATTGGATAAAATGCGTAATTGCATGATTCATCAACAGTTTTGATTTTACACATTCAATTTTTTAAGGAATTATTTTATTTGCTCTAAAATCCATTCGAAAAGACTATCTCAGTCTGACTTCTAACCGTTTATTTAAGTCCGATTCATTTACTCTTACTGAATGCGGGTTTCGATGGGGAAGAAAAAAGAAAAGGGGGAGGAAGGGGCAAGTAAAAAGAGTACCAGTGAAGTGACAGCTGCATAATATTTAGCTGTGAGAGAGAGTTCGTTGAAAATTCGTAGCATTCACACAAAAAGCATATGCCTTTGCAAATTGCATTGAAATTGTTGTCTTATTGCAATGCTGCAAAGAAGTTTTGTTTTCCTATAGTTTTCAGTGGAATTTAAGTGTTGGGGATTGGAATTCTTGTGGCAGGGATATTGTTAATATCATATTACAGAAAATAAATGTGTGTTTCTATTAAGACGAACTGTTTTAAATGAGCATTCGGTCGATAATTTATATTATTTTCTTTTCCTTCGCATAATTTTGTGCAACGGTTGCGCAATATTTTGTCATAAACCGACAAGTTTCTTGTTGTATCAACCGTGATCACAGATTATTTATTCAGTTTTTTGATTTGTTCATTTTAAGATTCTCCAATGAATCCGAGTACGTTTGTCTGGAGAAGATTTTCGTCTTCATACATTATGCTGTGTTATTTTCAGATGGCAGATCCACAGCTCTTGAAGGAAATCACCATCAAAACAGGTGTAGTAAAAAGACTGCTCAAGGAAATATCCTATTACAAGAAAGAATCTGAAGGAGAAGCCGCAAAATTGGAGAAAATGAAAGCCGATTCTAATGCTGATGAATATATGGTGAAGAAACAAGCTGAGATTGTTCAGGTTTCCAATAATTTACCACCAAAAGTCTTTTAATTTATTGCGCCCGAATTTTATGCTTTCTACGAGAATCAATCGTTTGCACATTAGCTCACATTCGCATGAACTGTTGGCTGCATAGATATTCTGTTGCCATCTTTCTAAGCAAAACAAAATTCTACTGATACGTTTTGAATGAATGAAGAAATCTATGTTTATAATATTTTGGTATTTAGGCGCTGTTATACTCTGGATAGTCCATATTTAGCCGAGCTTTCAGTGGTTCCGATGAAGAAGTTCAAGTTTCTTAATAGGGTAAAAGAATTTTAGGCGGCTTGCCCAAACTGCATCAGCACCAGAAGGTGTTGCTGAAGTGCTCAAAAATGCTGAATTGCAGATCAATTGTTTTGATTTCATTTCAGGAGTCAAAAAGTATGATACCGGATTCTTTTCGTAGATTGCAGAAAGCGGCTAACGAGCTGAAAACGGTTCCGTGCACTTTTTCTACAGATTTCTTGTTCAAACAGTTTTCTTCTTTAATTTCCAGAAACTGAAACAGCAAAGAACGTTCAAAATGCTTTGTAATATCTCAAAACACAATGGCACTGCAAAAGTTGCAAAGTCTACTTCGAAATCATTCGAGTTCATCGAGTTTCATTTAAAACATTTGTTTGGAAAGGTTCACCCGGAAATATAATTCTAAATTTGCAGTTGCTCGATGCGAACTCAACAAGTCTGGATGGTTCAAAAGAATATACGGCCGCTTGTGAACAAATACAAGCCGTATCTTCAGTGGACTGAAAAGTGTGCTGATTTCCTTGTGTAAATCTCATTTTTGTTCTCTCATCCGCGTAAGCTTACCCTGAGCACTGTATCATGAATCTTATTCATTGTTAAGCTGATTCATCAACAATTTCAAACTCTTTCTCGATATTTTGGGCATGTGATTTCATTCCGGTCAGTCCCGTGTTTAGTATAATCGTTTGAGAATTCCAGAACATTGATTTGGTTTCCAATCCCGTCTGCAAATTCCACTTCTTGTGTCCAAATTTGCTTCAGTGAATGGCTGTTTTCAAAAGGTTTCGCCGTTGTTCCAGTGGGAATGTTCGAAATTTTTTGCTCATATTTACTGATTTTTCTGTCACTTTGCATGTTATTGTGGCCAATACGAAAAAGGTGTTTTCTATGTTCAGTAAACGTGTAACTTATTGTTTACGGATCTCTAGGAAATGATATTCTCTCTTTTTTCCAACATTTTTTATTTGTTTTTCTTTCCTCTATTTTGTTGGTTGTTGGAAATGTTTTTATGTAACTGAATATCCTTCTTTTCAATCTTTTTGTTCAGTTTTCCTCACTGCTATTTGCTTTTCAAAGAAAATTTTCTTTACCCAAAGAACACTCGAAAATGTATTCTTTCATCGATAACTTTAAATAATGAATGGTTATCATTTCAATCTTAAAAAATAACTGAACACGTTCGAGTAATTTTCCGCCGTCTTCAATTTATTTTCATATCGTTTCATCGTCTCTTAAATTGCCAACTCGATGAAAGTCCCACGGAGGAAATTTTCTGAGTCCTCACTGAATTTTCGAAGGTAAGATTTCAAACTGACTGAGTCGAAAATCATTCAAAAGTACATCCGCTCTTGATATGATAATGAAGTTGTTTGTGTTTTTAAATTGAGAAGAGTGTCATAGTTGTAAGTGCACATTGAATTCCTTAAAATCAAGCGATCATACAATAATTGAATTAGTGGAATGCGTTCATTGTGGTATCGTTGAAGCGTAATTCTTATCGATTTTTCAACGAGACCGTGTAATTTGTTAGATGTTAAGATTTTGATACAATGATTCATTGTAATATGAAGTTTTCATGATGGGAATTTCAAATAATTTATCAATTTTTATAGTTTTATGCATTATCATTGTAAGTTGATTCTTGTTTTGCTTATAAATAAACTGAACACCTTTCATTCGTTCAAATCTGTCACACCGCACGATAATTTTGTATCTAACATCCACTTTGAATGGAGGCCGCGGCCAAAGATTTTGCTTCATCGTTGTCCCATTATGAGTAAATTTCAAATTTCAAATTAGTTTTTATGCTTGTAACTTAAAGCTTCACATCAGAACTGAACAGTGTTCCAAACGACCATCTGAACAAAAATTGTTGGGCTAAAGAAGTTGAAAATTTGAACTTATTTGCTGTCAAATAACTTTTCCGGATGAGTCAATACAATTGCATTCAAGTAGTATGACATATCGAATCAAAGCAGTATCGTAATGGGCTGATCCCGCAGTATCATAGCGCAGTATCACATTGCCATCATCATAGTACATTATTCCTTCCTTAACATCCCTATTTCCACACAGTTGATCATAATAACATTGGGAAATGTCCGTTTCCCGAAAGTTCAGTCCCGATTATTGACTTAGCGACCGTAAGAATGTAGGGCTGTTTTCCATATTATCTATTGATTCCTAGGGAAAGGCTTTTGAAATGAATTCAAGAATCCGCTCCACTTGATGTAGAGAAAATCCATGCAATGATCACTCGAGAAGCTGTAACTGAGCTCATCTAATGCTACCAATCATTGTACATGTGTTCGGAAGTGAAAGTAAGCAGTAATAGTGCAGAAAAAGTTTGCAATTTTTTTTNTTTTTTTTGCTTGAACTTGTTCACGACAAATTTCCTGTGTCGTCACCATACATTCTCATCAAATGTGAGATTTCGTTTAAACTCGTCAAAAGATGAAATATTTTCTCGCTCAATGCATTGACATTTGTTTTGAGGGTTTCTTTTTTGCACGTTTTTTTGATCCAAAATTATTGCTCTAACAGAAGAAACAGTTCCGGTGGTTTGATTGGTTTGTCGGAGCCGATCAGAATCTTACCATGAGTAAATTTAGACAACTGAAACGATTAATTTCGTTTCCGATATAGATGCACACCTCCTAATTCCTGACAGCCGATTTGGTTTCCTATTAGTTTTTGAGCTGAATTACGGATCGACTCATGCTCAATTTAACTGATGGATGACAAATGAGTTCAAATGCACGCAAAACTTATTCGAGTAAATACCGACGACGGTTTCACGAATTTTCTTGACCAAACATATGCAAATCATCATAGAGCCGAATATGTTATTGTGACAAAAACCTGAGAGTGAGAGTACCGTTAGCAAACCTGAATCTGGAGGTTCCGCGAAATCGAATGATGTATAGAAATCGACATGTTACTGGGCAAACCTGAGAATATGGTAGCCTCGAAGACGGCAACCCTATACTGCTATAGTGAAGCACATATTGATCTATAGAGATACAATGTTTATGAATGAGCGCCACTGCGCTGGTTGAGAGAGCTTTAATAAAATAGCTATATCTTCTCAATTAAGCCGAATCACTCAGCAAAATATATATTTTTCTGAATGCAGAGATTCCGCTGAATCGAATGATGCAAGGAAGTCTATATGTTACTGGGCAAAGCTGAGAGTACNGTAGGTTTGAAGATGGTAACTCCTATATTGATATAGCATTAGGAAAATAGCTACATCTCCTCAAATACGCAATATTGCTAAGCAAAATATATGATATTCTGAATCTAGAGGTTTCGCTGGATCGAACGGTGTAAAGAGGTTCACATGTTACTGGGCAAACTTGAGAGTATGGTAGCCTCGAAGATGGCAACCCTATACTGCTATAGTAAGGCATATATTGATCTATAGTGACACAATGTAGATGAATGAGCGCGAATGCGCTAGTTGTGATAGCTTCAATAAAATCGCTATATCTCCTCGTGTAAGCAAGATTCCTCAGCAAAATATATGATTTTATGAATCTGGAGATTCCGCTGCATCGAACGGTGTAGAGAAATTGCTGTGTTACTAGGCAAACCTGAGAGTACGGTTAGCCTGAAAATGGTAACCCCCATAGTTTGAGATAGCTCTAAGAAAATAGCTAGATCTCATCAAGTAGCAGAATTGCTCAACTATATATATTTGTCTTTCTGAATCCAAAGATTCTGCAGAATCGAACGTTGTATATAAATTACTATGTTGCTGGGCAAACCTGAGAGTACCGTTAGGTTGAACATGGTGACCCCTATAGTACGGCAGTAATGTATAAATTGATTTATAGTGTTAGCAACGACCTATATTAGCAATGCGAATGGAACAACAAGCAATTATGATCAAAATAACATCCATCAATTATCGACTGCATTCTTCAAATACTTTCTTAATTCAACTACAATTTCGAATAACATCAATTCAAATAACTCATAAAAACATGCTCTTGTATATTCATAAATAGACAGCAACAATGAGGAACATTAATAACTTGAACATTATTATTCGTGTTTGTTTCAAAACGGCTGTATGAGTTAGTCTTGATTCGATCATTTATTTATTACTGTTGACTTAACTAATTTGAGAATTACTATTTTCACGTTCAAGGTCGTAGGAAGAATTGATTTACTCGTGCACGTTTTGATTAAAACAAATTCTGTCACACCTGGAAGTATTCAAAAAAAGTTGAATGTTTGACACTGTTGCTTTTTTGACGAGTCACGATGCTTTATGGGCATATCATAAACTGTCATGAAATACACTGCAACAAGAATGTTGCATAGTTAATTTTCCAGTTAGCACTGGTATCATAGAATATACGAATTGTCAGTCGTGATATTTGACAGTTTTCAGAGTCAAATGAACATTCCCCCTTCAAACGGCTTTGAAGCGGATATAATATCTTAACATCGAGAATGAACTGGTCCTCACTAACGCTAGAAGATTATTGGCAACCTTCGTTTACTCATAATCTTGCCGGCTTCATTCCACAAACTTTATTACCATTTTAATATTTGTTAACCTTAACTAACCGCTGTGGCTCCCGTCGTTTGAGTGAGTTAAGAACCTTACTAATGAGCTGCCGTCATTCTGCTTCCTCCCTCGTCTCCGTAGATGCCAATTCCTTGTGCTCCGATGAGAAACTTCAGTTTGTTGCAGTCTGTTGCATATGTATTTGTTTCAACGTGTTCACACTGGATACTCGTTATGAATTGTGTAAACATTCCACTACTTCTATGAGGCTTAGAACTAGCACTAAAAGCTATCCGATCATGACCGTAGCAGTCGATTGCTTTTGGATGAATCACGTTAGTAAGTTGAAGATGTTATTGTTGATAACTAATTAAGGACATAAATGTCACATGATCGTTCATCAAACTATCACTGAATTATTATGCGACTAATTTATTGTTTCAACACATGAGTCCTTATGCCGTACAGGTCGACGATCATCATTGCCGTCTTTTCGTTGCTCTACGCTGAATGTTTGCTTGACCATCGCATGTTAGGGTTGCTTGGAAATATTGAAAATCAACCTTTAATCAAATCTCGTAATTTGATTTAATCAAATTTAATCAATCAGTCAATCAATCAAATAATCCCTCGTATTGAATAATTGGGATTTGAGACGAAATTACTAACATCTATGAGTTTCTGAGATCATTTTTAAGACGTACAACTTCCTCCGGTCTCAGAACGGGTAGTTCAGAAACGACTCGCTGAGTTTCTAAATTCATGGAATAATTCGAATTTCTATCAGACGATCTACGCATGGAAGGGATGTGGTTGTAATTGTTGATAATTTTGTGACGTCAAACATGGGTTGGCTGATTAGGTTTAAAGATTAGTAGAACAGGAAAACAATGATAATGGTTGTAATATGATGAAACAACAACCCACTTCAATTAACTTCACTTCAACCAAAACAGGTTCAATGATATGTGAAGGGCTTTTT